AAGAATGGGAGGTGTGGTTAAATTACAGTATAGACCTATGATACAGTACAGATAATATTTGGTAAGGGTCTACAACACAAGGAATTTGGCTTTTATATTTTTATATTAAAAAAAAACACCTAACAGTAAATTTTTTTTTTTTTTTTACATCCTTGCCAACTCTTGGTCGTTTGATACTTGTTAATTTTTACCAATCTGTTGGGGATGTAATTCTCACTGCATTTTTTTTTTTTTTCCCGGTCCGCGGGCCTCTCACTGTTGTGGCCTCTCCCGTTGCGGAGCACAGGCTCCGGACGCGCAGGCTCAGCGGCCATGGCTCGGGGGCCCAGCCGCTCCACGGCATGTGGGATCCTCCTTGACCGGGGCACGAACCCGTGTCCCCTGCATCAGCAGGCGGACCCTCAACCACTGCGCCACCAGGGAAGCCCCCCCAACAGTAAATTTAACAGAATACCTAATATAACAGTGTCATTATTATGGGAATGCCAAAGGAAAATACCATTTTTTACTAAGCATGTATTACTTTATGGATGAGGTAGGAGAGACACTAAAATGAAAGAAGGAAAATGATCAGGAACATCCTAATTTTCCCTAGCCACAGACAGTTCAGATTTCTAATGGCCATTTTTGTACCTACATATTTAAAGATAATACCGGGAGTATCAATCTAGGTGTTTCAGAGGAGCGCAAGTGTCATTAAATGTTTGTTTTTTATTGCCGAGTTCGGGGAAGACCCCTCTCAGGACATGGACACGCGCACACACACACACACACACACACACACACACACACACACACAACCCCACCCCCCCCCCCCACCCCACCCCACCCCAGCTGAGGAGTAAAAGCAGAAAGGAAACTAGAGTAAGTTGTGACTTAAAAGTGTTAGTGTTGAATAAAAAGTGCTGAGACAGGACGATTTGAGGAGACTATAAATGTTTAAATGGCAAGGTATTAGTAGTGACAGTTAATAAAAATGCATATGTATGTGCTTTTAGATTTACAAAATAGACTTTAGTAAGAACCTTTTTTCTGATTCCTGAGAGTATATCAAAAGTTTTTCGTGCACTTTCTTACTAGATTCTTGGAAAAGTTAATTGTTAGCATGAACAGCCAGTAATCTATTATAAGCTGGTTTTATAATCTGTTTTATAGCAAAGTTACTTCTAGTTAGTAGTACTCAAACTTTTTGAAATCCAAGGTAATTAAGATAATTTTGTGTTGCTGGGTGATATCTATATTGTGTCAAGATTTCTCATGTAGATTTTGACCGAAGGCCACTTAAAGTACAAAAGGTGAAGTAGAGCCCCCCAGCAATCATTTTGAAGTTAGCTCTAAGGCTAATCTTTTATAATAATGTTGTGGTATGTAAGAAAATATCGTTACTTTTTTTTTTTTTTTTTTTCTTGCGTTATGCGGGCCTCTCACTGTTGTGGCCCCTCCCATTCGCGGAGCACAGGCTCCGGACGCGCAGGCTCAGCGGCCACGGCTCACGGGCCCAGCCGCTCCGCGGCACGTGGGATCCTCCCGAAACGGGGCACGAACCCGCGTCTCCTGCAACGGCAGGCGGACCCTCAAGCACTGCGCCACCAGGGAAGCCCTGTCGTTACTTTTTATAGCCACATAATGTACTAATGTATGTAATTTACTTTAAAATCATTCTGTAGAAAGGCACCAGTATGGCACAATATTAATAATTGTTAAATATAGGTGATGTGTGCATTATAAAGTTGTGTCCACTTTTCTGCATATTTGAAAAATTTCATAATAAGAAAAAAGAAAAACCTAGCATGCTTAAGTAGTCTTGTTAGAAAAGCTGAAGGAAAAATTACTCATAGTAATACTTTGAATAAGGTATGGTGTAGGATGGACTTTCTCCTTAGATTGAAATTATTATATGTAATGGATATATATTTTTCTAAACCTTATAGAGTTTGTCAGAAATAGATGAATTTTGAGGTGTTCTTTACAAAATATATAATTGGAAAATAGTATATGTTAAGCAAAAAGAGAAAAATAAAAGGAAGTGTGCATGTATCCATTACCTCATTAGACTGGATAAGTTGGTGATCCCGCAGCACCCTCTTTCTTTGTCAGAGCACCACTTGGTGGTGATAAAGCTGTCAGGACACACAGCATTCTAAATGTAGTCTATAGTTGTGGTCACTTGCATCTGGGAACATTTAGAACTTCATTTTTTTTTTTTTTTTAAGCATTATACTCCCTTTATCTTGATTGGTACATAGTGGGCTTTTCCTCATTTTTGTATCTCATAATTCTTTTTGAAATTGGAGCTTTGATCCCCTCAGTTGATCCTCTTGCTTCTTCTCTTGTATTCTGTCTTTCTCCTTCATGCTTTAGGAGTTTTTCTCAATTTCAGTTATCTGTTGAACTTTTTATTTTTTTTTATTCTCTCCAATTTTTATGAGGGGAATAAAGTGAAACATTCTGTTTCCCTCCCCACCTTACCCCGATTTTAAAGTTTTGTTTCTCTGGAGTCTGGTTTTCCTGAAGTCTTTGATAAGCCTTAGTTAATTAGGAGCTCTAGGCCCTTAATGTATGGCAGGGTGTAGTAGAGGAGAGCCAGCCCTTGGGCTGAAAAACTCTGCCAAGAGGAAGAATAAGGAAAGCTTTCCTTTGGGGCAAGATTCTGCCGTAGTTCTCTGGATAGGAAATTCAATTTCTTCAGTAAATATTTCTCAAATTTTAGGTAAATTTGGATTTGTCTGCAGATCAGTGTAGGGGTGAGTTGGTATATACTGCTGCTTATGTAGATCCCCACTTTCATTCCTACTTTTTACTTCTTTACTTGCTGATTGACACTTGGCCTCCCTCACTTCAGAGGGTTGCCGTGAAGAGCAAGAATAATTTTTATGTATGTTGCATAAGTTTGAAAGTGCTATAAAAAAATAATAGTACTAAGACGTCCCCAACATGCAAGTAGATATTGTAAGTTTGGAACATGAACTTGCTTTTTTCCATAAAATCATTATAATCTTGGTCAAGTTACTAGGTCAGCCCACATAAGTAGATTCTACCCAGTAAATATGGCTAATATGTTTTGCCTTTGTCTCAACAAGGGAAAAAACACTATAAATATTTTTTTTTCTTGATGCCAGGTACATCAAAGTACTTCTTAAATAGCTGCACCTGTAGATGTGACTAGTTGGTTTTTGAGTCCTGTGGCATTGGCCAGAGGAGAAGCTCAGTGTAACACATGTTTTAAGTCCCCTTCCCTGGAAATATATTGGGAGCTGGAGTGGGGAACCCATTTTTCAGAGGGGTGGAGAAATGGTTAAATAGCCATTCTCAAAGATACGCAAAAGACGCGAACTAGAATACAGCCATCAGTGGACAGAGAACCTGGGTTTCTTCCATCATAGTATTTCTCAACATATGGTCTGCAGATCACTTTCTGCATCCTTAGAATGTTCATTAAAAGTGCAATTCTATGGAGAAACTTCTTACTAAAAGACAAGGAAGACAACAGGATAATGGGTAAAGAAATGAATAGACACTTCAGAGAAGACCAAATTAAAATGAACACATTTATGAAAAGATGCAAATTAAAGTGGCAAACATGTTGCTTTCTAAAAGAAAAAAAAGTGCAGGTTTCTACACACCCCTTCCCATCCTATTGAATCGAAACAATAAACACATAATCCTACTTAGTACATGATTTTAAAATATAAGTTTCTTGTTGACAGGAATCACCTTTGTTATTTTCTGTCCTTCAGTTTGCCTTGTAAGTAAATCGTCAGTTGTTCCTACTGTGGATGATAAAACAATTGTGTCCACAACTCTTGTCAGCTTTAGGTGTCAAGTGATCTCTGTGGTTATAAAAAATCTAGTTTTGGAAGAGCAAATCCAGGAATAATCAACACATGCTCCCTTTACATAGAGAAAATAGGACTTTAGAGTACAGTTTCCAACTGCATTATATTAAACACATATAAAGTTTTTTGGACACTGATAGAAAACACAGTTCACACTTAAATATCTTAGTCCACATTGGTAATTTACATCTAATTTTTAATTTGTAGTGCAAGAGGAACTTGTTTGGGGCAGACTATGTAATAAAGGAAGTTTTGTCATTAGGACTATCTAGAGACCATGAGCCCTTAAACTGGTCTCATTTGCAAATAGCTCCCTGTGTAATTCAGTGTTTTCCTGAATGTTACATAAAAATGCCAAAATGCAGACATAAATTAGATGCTAAGATTTTTTAATATATATGTGAATGATTTTTACATTGATCAGAGCATTCACTTGTATTTATAATAAATCACTGCTATAAAATTGAACTTAGAAACGTTTGACTAAAAAAGGTGCTTTTAAAGTTGCAAACTTTAATTTGAGAAGTAATTTTACTTCTTAGTACAAAATCTGAAATCTACTGTTCTGATCCAGTCACCACACATAAAATACCTTATGAAGGTATTTTAGATGGCATTGTATTATATCAGAAAAGAAAACAGTAACAACTGACCTGTTAAATGAAAATCTGGTGTGTTTTTTTTGTTTTTTTAATTTGGTGTTTTTAAAATCCCACTGGACCTCTGTTGTCCAAAGAAGTCCTGTGAATTTTTCAGTGAAAGAAATTAAAAAGGGAGAGGAGAGGACTTGTGGAACTCAAGGAGGAGTTGATTTTGAATAGCTTTTCCCCCTCCCTGGCTTTCATTAGTAGGGTGCTTATGCTTTCTTTGTTATCTTCAGTAATTTTGCTTTTTTGACATCCTGTGTATCTGTAATTTATATTTCTCCTGAAAAGAGGTTCTTGTTAAAGAGAAGTTTTCACTTAGAAGTTTGGCAGTGATAGAGCTGTGGTTGAAGTGTTTGGAGGAGACCATGAGGTCCGTGTTTCACTATATCACATGGTAAAAGACGACTTGGGGCTTTTTGTGGATGTAGTCCATGATGTTTGACAGGCCATCTTAGTGACTTATGAGTATTGAAATCAAACAATTTTAAATCCTAATGACTTTGATTAACTCTTTTAGGGTCTCTGAAGTACACCATACTGCGGTTTTGAAAGTCTTGCGTGGACAATGGCTACCCAAGGTTTGTATCATAGTCTTTAGTTACTGAATTGGGGCTCTGCTTCATTGCCATTAACCCAGTCTGGCTGAGATTCCCCTGCTTTCCTCTCTCCCTGCTTACTTGTCAGGCTACCTTTTGCTCCATTTTCTGCTCACTCCTCCTAATGGCTTGGTGAAATAGCAAACAAGCCACCAGCAGGAAACT